TCGGTGCTTCGCCAATGCGCCGGCGGCGGTTGCACGATGTCGCCGCCGCGGGCGCTGCTTGCGGCTCTGCTAATATGTCAGCTGTTGTCGTACGGTGGCCACCAGGGACTAACCAAGATATTTTACACGTAAGGATTTTGTTATCTCTAATAAAATGGAGCTTAATGACTGATCATTTGTAGCTTTCTGCAAGAACGATGAGTCCATGCATCGCAAAATTGGTTTTGAGGGGTATTTTGGTAATATGGACACGCCAAACGATATCTTTTTGATACCACATTCAATAAATAATGAATATTATGCTAAATTAACAAATGCTTAGTTGTATAGTCAACAAACTAAAGTTAAACATTCGGATGTAAAGATAGAGTGCGAATTTGATTGAGTCTATGAAAAGACTAAAAATAAAAAAAACAGGCCCAAATGGACTCGGTGTTTCAAATTTACTGATAAACTCCGCTAATAGAGCCACTGCTCAAGAACATTATATTGAAAATACCCTAATAGCAACAGATAATTAGAACGCAAAGATTTAATTTAAAAAAAGGATTTTGTCTTGTTTGGCATTTAGTTGATAACAAGGTTATCGACTGAAGTATAGTTGATAACTTAGGTATACAATAGTATAGTGTTAAAATGTTCGGTCTGTTAGGAAATAATGTCTGTTGCACTTTCTCCGCGCGTTTTGGTATATCTATGCATACTGTTTGTATTGTGCAGTGAGAATTTGCAGTAATTTCGCGTTAAATATATAAACCACACAATCTTACACTGTCTCGTACTTTTCTCGAAACTGGGTGAACTAAATCCGTATTCGAACGCTAGTAACATTGTATTACAATGAGAATGGGTGAAGTCGTCGTCTGCTAATCTATAGACGTGTGCCACGACCATACCTTTGAAACAGAATACGCAATAAAATACCCTTTTGAATGAGAATATAAGGAACGTTATTTATAAGATAACCAACCGACTTTTCGGTGTTAACACCGCTTTTGTCAAGTTGTGACTATGTCAGCTGCCCTTGTAATGTGTAAATCTGCTACCGGCACATTGAGAGGGATGTTCGTCTTTTTTCAATTCTAAATAAATCAGGCGTTGACTTACAAAATCTTTCAAGGACCAGATATATCATTTAATCATAAAACTTGGCCATCCTGAACCCATGTACTAAGAAGAGAAATGGGTTAGGCGGCAGTATCAGCCTGTACTAATACCCAACACGTTACTCAACTTTTGATGGTTTTATGTTTAACCTATATTATATAATACATACATGTAACACACAACTAAATAGAACATTACCAATCGATCTGAGAGCACAAATAGAAAGTATTATTGATTATTGAGAGTGTGTAAGTTTGGACGGTGCATTAACCTCTATAGTACTATTATTACTAATCACGAAATTTAATGATGTTACTTCTTAAGTTCATACGTCTGGTTCTTGCCAAGATCCCTAAACAATTTCTTCTTTCATCACATTAGTTCCACCACATCAAATGTTAGATTTATCGAGGTGTCTTGATTATTCTATATTTCTGTGATCAGGCAAACAATGATAACTTATTTTCCTAGCAATTCGCTGGAAGCCTAAGGGACTATATCTAGGGGACTATAAAGGCCAATGATTATACAGTATAATACTCTATTTTTAGTTATCTGTTCTATTAAGGCGTGTACGTATTGTAATCGATTCTAATGCATTATAAATATCTGTTTGACCATTTTTAGGATAAGGTATTCCTTAAATAAGTTATCAGAAAAATATTATAGAAATCAAGCCCTCGACACCTCTAAAGATTCATTCAATTCGCATCAAGTTATTTTTGAAAATTATTGGCTCGACTGCTGTGTTTCTGCCGTGTCACGCAGAAAAACATTACTGCGATTGAAAACACGATGCGTAAAAATTTCAATAAAACTCTGCGCAAATTTCAATAAAAATGCCCACAATTCCTTTGCGTGCATAGAGCAACAACATTAAGCTGTGCTGTATAAAGCGCTATTTACCTCATTCGATTTTAGTAGATTCTAATTACGAAAAATAAATAAGATAATACTGTTACAGAGCAGTCAGTGACTATGTTTAAAACACAGCTATATGTAGGCACCCGCTAAGTCTTTTACGAGTCTAAAAATACCGTTGTGGAAATCAATACTTCGTTTTCAGTGACTGTTCAAGACCCTTTGTATGACGTTTAATCACATCTTTGTTTTTATAACAATAACCTCGTTTTTCGACGAATTAAACGAAATACACCGTGATCCAGAAATAGAAGGAGAAGAAGTAGACAACAAAGAAGCAGAGAGAAGCGATTCAGCGCTGCAGGTTTTGTCCGTTTCATCATTACAATCGCGAATGACTAAACAGGGCAAACATATCACAGCATAACTTTATGTCTATTAGTCAATTAGATTCATTGTAGTGACATATAAATAAAATTTGGAGTGTCTGTTTGTTATATTGAAATAACCGCTTTTTACTACATGCATATGAATTACCATATGTCATATACAGCAAAATAACATTTTTGTCTGTCTGTTTGTTCTGGCAAATTTTTGGAACGGCTGGACAGATTTTGACGAGACTTTCACTGATAGGTAGCTGATGATATAAGGAGTAACTTAGGCTACTTTTTTTTACATTAGCTTCGCCTCGCGGCCTCACCCGCGGTACGACAATAACCGCGGGTAATATCGCGGGACTCGGCTATCAATAATAGATTTTTATGTTTCCGAAGCGAAGCGAGAGCGCGGGTCACTAGTATATTAGTATTATTGATGGGACTAGTTTTGATAGTCACGTACATGAATTAGTCCCGGGTAATCCAGTTCAGCAGCTCATCTATACTAATATATAAATCTACAGTAGTTTTTACTGATGTTCCATTATAAATACTGAACCATGCATCCGATTGACTTGAAACTTGGTATCCATGTAGAAAATACATGTACTTAATGGTTAGGCTAATATTTATATGAGTGTTGGACTCCCTGCACCAGTTGCAGGGGCGTTAATGATGAGAATCTTTATGGGGGTGAGAAATAATAATGTTAATTTTAAATGCCCAGTGAAGCGGGCGGGTACAGCTAGTCGTCCATAATTTTATATGGTTGATGACATGAGCTACATTGAAAACGAGAGGTCAATTCTTAACTCGAAATGTGACAAACACTGATCGTTCGCGTGTAGAGCGGATGCGTAGGAAGCCATAACAAATAAACAAGTTATTGTGTCAATTGAGCGGTGCGTTGTACGCACAAAAGAAGGAATTTATGTTTGAGGCTATGTTTAGATTTATTGTAATGACATCGAATTTTTGAACGTTTGTAATAGTTAGGCTGTCGTGCGGGAGATGGGACGTACTAATTTACTGGTGGTAGGACCTCTTGGGAGTCCGCGCGGGTACGTACCACCACTCCGCCTATTAATGTCGGGAAGCAGTAATGCGTTTCGGTTTGAAGGGTGGGGCAGCCGTTGTAACTATACTTGAGACCTTAGAACTTATATCTCAAGATGGGTGGTGCACTTAACACCAGGTGGGCTGTGAGCTGTTCCACCCATCTAAGCAATAAAAAAACTCTGGAATACGGGTTGGCATAAAGTTCCTTTATGTATTTACAGAAGAAAAATGCCCATTACTTTTAATGGTAGAGAGTTATGTCTTAACTACAGGGGGGTTTAAAGGTTGCTAATAATGATTAGATAATTTGTTCTATGACCGATTTAATCCCGGTATTTCTGACTATCAACAAATGTAATGTTCCATTTTGAAGTATTTGAATGTTTGTTTTCCTAATTGGGTAAATGATCTTTCAGTCCACTTAGACACTAGGTTTTAAGTTACTACCCGAGCCCATAGACATCAGCAACGTAAAGTCACCACCAAAGTTTTATAGTACAACGTCTGCCCCACACTTGAAATCGAAGCACATTACTGCTTCGCGGTAGAAATTGGCAGAGTGGTGGTACCTACCTGAGCGGACTCACAAGACGCCGTACCACCGGTAATCACGCAATTTTCGGTAGGCAGCGGCTTGGCTCTGCCCCTGGCATTGCTGAAGTCCATGGGCGACGGTAACCACTCACCATCAGGCGGGCCGTATGCTCGTCTGCCTACAAGGGCAATAAAATAAAAATAATATGATTTTTTCAGAGTTCAAAGTTACATTTTCTTTCATATTTGAAAATTATCGCAGCAAAGGACACGACTATTATTTGGGCTTCGTCTAGTTTATTAAACCTCTTTTACTTGGCTGTTTAAAAGTATTTTACACTAACAACGAAACTATAGCAATTACATAGTTAATGTTCAATTATTCTTTTATAATTTAGTAATTAGTATGCGTCCAAAGCTTTATGCCATTATAATTATTTTTGTTGAATGAAATAGATTAGCGTAATGCGCTTTCGCCGTTTCAAAATAACTTTGTTATGTGTTATTTTCAATCGTTAATATAATGTTATGTATTTATACTATTGTGCTAATCAAATAAATAATAGTAGTTGTTAAATTTGTAGTCAATGTTTAAAAAAGTAATAATAAATAAAAAATATTGCGAAATTCTAGAGGATTGACAAATATTTCACGATTATCTATCCACATTACTGGTGGTAGGACCTCTTGTGAGTCCGCGCGGATAAGTACCACCACCTCGCCTATCTCTGCCGTGAAGCAGTAATGCGTTTCGGCTTGAAGGGTGGGGCAGCCGTTATAACTATACTTGAGACCTTAGAACTTATATCTCAAGATGGGTGGCGCATTTACGTTGTAGATGTCTATAGACTCCAGTAACTACTTAAGACCAGGTGGGCTGTGAGTTCGTCCATCCATCTAACCAATAAATAAATAAAACATAAACATTATACTTTATTGGACGGTTCAGTTTTCTATTTTCATTACTATTGGATTCTAATTTACTTTTCATTAAATAGTTTAAATACATATTTTATAGTTTGAAAAAAATCTAATTAATTTCAATTTCATTATTTTCAGATTACCTGACACAGGGCAGCCTCCGGTTCTCATATCGTTCGGGGATAACGCGAAATTGGACCTGGGCAATACGGATGAACTAATGTTCGTAAATGACTCCGACGAGCACAACGACACCAAGGCATTTTCAATCGTCGACACCGAAACATCAAAGGTTGAAAGTGAAACAGACAGCTTAGAAGACAAACCGAGCACAGAACCGAGATTGGTTGTGAAAGCGGTCCCCAAACATGAACTGAAACAAACAGAAGATGCATCTCAACCAGACGGAGAAGTCTTAGAATCTCAAGTTGAAGAACAAATGGACGAAGAACCGGTTCACGTTCCAGTCAAACCAGAAACCCCGCAAGAAGACATCCCCTCGTTTTCGGAGTGGGCGCAGAAACAACTCGCCGAGGCAGAGAAACAGGACACAGTACTGAATCACTCGAGTCAACCTAGTCATAGTAATACTAATTTTAGTAGTAAGAGCGTGAAGTTGCGGTCGAAGAACTACGCGTCGCTGGCGTGCGGCGCCAAGGTCGTCGCCGTCAACCCGGAGGCGGGCTCGCCCAGCTCCATCCTCTCCCCCAACCGGGACGAGTACATGCTCAACACGTGCAACAGTCGCATTTGGTTCGTCGTCGAACTCTGCGAAGCTGTTCAAGCTCAAAAAATAGAGATAGCTAACTTCGAGTTGTTCTCTTCAACTCCCAAAGACATCGCCGTTTACTTTAGCGATCGGTTCCCGACGCGAGACTGGGCTAGCGTCGGACAGTTCACCGCCCAAGACATGAGAGACGTGCAAAGCTTCGACCTGTACCCACATCTATTCGGCAAGTTCATAAAAGTCGAGATGCTTTCGCATCACGGCTCTGAGCATTATTGTCCGATTTCGCTGTTCAAAGTGTACGGCACTTCAGAGTTTGAGGTGCTAGAGAAGGAGAATTCGCAACATCCCGCTCATATCGACGAGGACGAAGACGACGAGATAATAGACGTTCCCGACGTGCCGGCCGCCGAGACGGAGCCCTCCAAGAACCTGTTCGGGTCCGCGCGGGACGCCGTCATGTCCATCATGAAGAAGGCGGCCCAGGCGTTAGTCAAAACGGAAGTTCCTAAAAACGTGTCGTCCGAACACAACGACACGTTGGCAGACGACGCGTACAGACGCTGTTGCTCTCCCAGCCATATTATAGTGTGTGATAATTGCAGTGAGTCGCTGTACAATGACGTATACGAACTCATTAGTTGTAACTCGGACAAATTAGTTAGTTTAATGCGTCAAGGATTCCTTCGCGATACCTTGAAGTGCACTGGCATCTGCCAACAGTTCGGTTTAGATTTTAAAAGTACAAAGACAATAGAGTTTAGTGATGAGCGTGTCGCTTACATGAACGCGTTGTTCCCGCAAAAGTATTTAGCCGCCTTGTGTAATATATTAGCGATAAAAGAGAAGAAGGTCGTTTTGAATACGAGCTTTGAAAACGAACATAACGTTACTAGTGATAACAGTACTGAAGAGTCGCCGCAGATTGTGAATAGCGGAACTAGCGGCGAACAAGAGATCAAGTTGGCTCCCGACAATAGCAACGGCTCCGATGATAGAATCAATGAAACAACGCAAAGTGATGAGATACCAATTGATACGCTCAACGATAGCAGCACGTTACCTGTGGAACTTCTCCCAGAAGAAGTTGACAACATGGAGGATAAGAAAGAAGACGTTATCGTCGCAGAGGAGACTTCAGGAGATGAACCCCAAGAATTTATAGCACCGAATATTGATAAATCTATAGAAATAGCGACGGAGCAAGAAAACAAAGATGGACTTTTGAAAACAGAAATTAAAAACGGCAAGGAAGTCACAGAGAAGAGAGAGGGTAATGGCGAAGAATCGAATGATCAGCTGATGATGGAGAATGACAATTTCATTTCGGATATCGATCAGATAGCCGCGGACCCCGCGCCGCCCGGCGCTCCCAACACGCAGAACCAAAATCAGCAGCAGACCACTCTGCAGAAGGAATCTGTTTTTTTGCGTCTCTCTAACAGAGTAAAGGTGAGTTCTTTGCAGTACATCCATTGTTTCATTGTCTCCTACAATAACTCTATCGCAAAGTGGGAGCGAATGTGTTTAAATACGAAAGGCTTTAAAAAAATTAACTTAGCTAAAATAGGTACTAATTTTATTTTTTCCCAATTGAGTACTTCAGAAATTTGAGAGTGTGTTGGAAGTTTTAAGTAAATTGATAGTTAAACTCTATTCCAATTACAAAGTCCCTTTTGACACTCCTTAGAACGTAACTCTTCGCGTCTCGCATAATTTGAAATAATAATGATTTTTTGTTCATGGTTGTAAACATCATTTAAAAGATACACAATCATTCTAAATCATTATACAATTAATTCACATACACAATAAAATAATAAGAACATCTGTCTCATGAGACTTTATAATTGGAATAGAGTATCGGTAGTAAACATTTCAAAACGACATCGACAACTCTGTTTTAAAAAAATATCCATAATTATTTTTCTCTATTTCCAGACCCTAGAACGCAACATGTCTCTATCGGGACAATACTTAGAAGAGTTGAGCAGGAGGTACAAGAGACAAGTGGAAGAGATGCAGAAGACTTTCGAGAAGACTGTCCAGCAGATGACAGAGGAGAAGAGGAAAACGAATGAACGAGAACAGAAATATTTGGAACAAATGAGCAGTCTCCAGGAACAACTGACCCAGATGACGTCAGCAATGCACGTACTCATGGAAGAGAGAGACAGCTGGTTCGGAAACATTAACTTCTTCAGATTCATCATCTTCCAAGCTATCATTGTGGCTCTAGTTATATACTACGTGTCGAAACGAAGAAGAATCGAACCGATATTAGTACCGGTTCCGAGAAAAACAAGAAAGAAACAGGACAAGTTGAGGCGAAAATCTGTTGAAGGAGTCAGTGGACACGCCACGCCTTCCACCAAGAAACGGAGACCCAGCGAGGAGGCTCTGCAGATAGCCAGACAAGCCGTTGAGGACACCAAGGGCAGCAACGAAGGAGAGTGGCAGGTGGCTCGTAAGAACAGAAGGAGAAAAACTTGTATAGTACTTAACACGGAGACAGCGGCCAAGAGTTGGACCCGGCAGGACAGCATCGGGAAGCTGCAGGAGAACACCATAACCTTGGATGATGACGAGTACGTGGCGCCCGTGTCCGAGCCCAAGCAGTTTAACGCGGACGTGGAGCCGCCCAAACCGGACTACACCAAGACGAATGGCTTCTTCAACAACTTGAAAACAAAAACCATGAAGACCAGGAGACTGTCATCACCTGCATTTTTGCGAACGTTCAGCCGCCAGAGCACCAGGAGCACCCCCAGCCCCGTCGTGAGGAGTGAGGAGCCGATCTTCAACGGGAACGCGAAGAAGAAGGCCGCCTCGGAGTCACCCACCGGGAGCCTCTGGTCGGAGTCCACGGAGTTGTCCCCGCAGGACAGCGAGAGCAGTGGCAGTAAAAAAAAGAAAAGTCTGAAGAATATATTGAAGAAAGTGTTTTAATTGTGGACGCCTTCGATCGTAAACTTAGCTTATGTTGTTACTTTTGTAATTTATTTCTATGCGAATATTAATTGTACCGTTTTTTAAATTATTATTTGTATAAATTATGGTAATTGTTATATAGGGAGACCTCATAGGTGCCAATTGTGATAAATTAGAGAGCCTAAACGTTTGTTGCGGTGTGTTCCGTTCGGTGTAGTGGCGGCGGGTGCGCGCTCGCCGAGCACTAGTCCCGGGTTATGTTTGGAAAATGAAAACGGCATTAAATGCGTCATTTTATTTGTTTTTTTTTATTCTTTTTGTAACTTCTTACCTTGGTTGTAGGACCTTTTGTGAGTCCGCACGGTTAGGTATTACCCTGCCTATTTCTGCCGTGAAGCAGTAATGCGTTTCGGTTTGAGGGTGGGGCAGTCGTTGTAACTAGATTATTGAGACCTTAGAACTCATATCTCAAGATGGGTGGATGGTCTATGAGCTCCGGTAATCACTTAACACCAGGTGGGCTGTGAGCTCGTCCACCCATCTATGCAATAAAAAAAAGTGTGTGTGTCCGCTCCGACGCACGACTGGAGTTTACTGGATATAAATATAAATTTGTGTCAGTTGAATACAGTAAAATATGGAAGTTACGTATTCTAGTGAGAATGATCCGGGAGTTGCGGAACACGTGGATGCGGTAATTAAGTAAGTCTATATAATTCACTTTTACAATTAATATATAAGTTGTCCATTCACTGATAGAAGGAATTGTTTATATTTAATAAGCTTTATTAATAAATGATTTGTAGCGGGTTATATTCGGGTATCAACCCACTAACAGTTGATACGTTCAGGAATCGAACCCGAACGGCGTCCGGCCACAAGCAAAACGATGTCGGTAAATTAAACGAAACAATACGAGAAATAGTTCTATATTACGACAACACGATACACTACAGATTATTAACAAATTAACGAGACACAAAACAAACGACTAACAAATATATGAAAATACAATAATGAGAGAAACGCGCGATCAGTACGAGGCTTTGTGGCGGACTGCCGGCGCAGCAGCCCGGCGTCACCTGCGATAACGCGGCCGCGCGTTGGCTCCTGATTGGCGCGCGCACGCATCACGCAATCAGGAGCCAATCAGGCGCATAACGCATTTCGTGTGACATGCTATACTCTCTAGTACGATTTTGGTCCCCATAATTTTCATACCCCGGGCCTATATATGTAAATCGATTCTTAAGGAGTAAACTCCAAAAAAAAGCTTAACTTAAGCTTACTAAAGCTACCCCCGGCCGACCCTCCCTCCCAACCTAGATACAGGAGTGCCTTCCTCTGCTCACAGTGTGCCATACTAGCAGGAAATTGATTTTCTTTGGAGTCGGACAAAATTAAACAGACAATTCAATTTTGCTCCATTTTTTTTTATTGGTTTCATACTTGTATTCTTATAAATAATTCGATATACATTCAAACATAATTATACACTACGAAATAATATTAATGGATTGCAAAAAATCTTTTATATCAACACATTTGACGTTCACTAAATTTTGACTTCTCGCCGCCGAGTTCAACGACCTCACAGCTGTTTCCAAAGTGTCATTGTCGTACGGCTTCCTGCTGTTTGTAGCGAAAATTATTTCGTTCACTTCCTCGTACAGTTTCACCGACACTAGATGCTTGAAGTGTCTCTTGAGGGTTAGGAGCATGGAGGCTTGGAGTTCAACATCGCGGCACACCAGATTTAGGATGAAATGTCCTGAGTATGGAGAAAATTGTGTTACATGTGGTGGTGTGTGTGTGTAACATGCTTTGATCTTTGGTAATAATTGTAAATTAGTCGTCTTTGTAGTTGAACAGATAAACGACGTTTGCTAATATTAATTCACTAATTATTCGGACAGGAATCTATACTAATATATAAATATACAGTGGTTTTTACGGATGTTCCATTTTAACTACTGAACCATGCATCCGACTGACTTGAAACTTGCTATCCATGTAGAAAATACATGTACTTAATGGATAGGCTAATATTTATATGAGTGTTGGACTCCCTACACCAGTTGCGGGGGCGTTAATGATGAGAAGAATCTTTGTGGGGGTGGGAAATAATAATGTTAATTTTAAATGCCCAGCGAAGCGGACGGGTACAGCTAGTTGATAAATATTACTGTGTTCAAAACAATAAAAATAAAAATAAAAAACTGCTGGTATAACGGTACATTGAGACACGGACACGTACTACCATAGGTTTAAAGAGTAGAACAAACTTCAATCTCATATCTCAAGGCGGCATTTTCTATGAGTTCCAGTTACCACTTAACTTCAAGAGAGCAGCTATCTCGTTAACCGATCCACAGCAATGAAGCAGCATGTTTGGTGTGCGTTTCAAATATCCTAGCACAGGCGGTACCCATCTGTTGTTTTTTTTTTCTTTTTCTTAGATGGGTGGATGAGGTCACAGCCCACCTAGTTTTAAGTGGTTACTGGAGCCCATAGACATCTACAACGTAAATGCGCCACCCACCTTGAGATATAAGTTCCAAGGTCTCAATTATAGTTACGTACCATCGTCATCAAGAATACTGTGAACTTCTTCGAGTACTTTATCCTCTAGGAACTGTTTGGGAGGACACGAGAGGCCGAGCGTGCGATCCTTGCTGTCCATGTCGAACAGTACTGCACCATATTTGTGTCCTGGAAGCAGGAGTAAAGAATATTTCATCATTACTGTGAAAGAGTATATAGGAGGGTACCCAAAATGCACCAAATAAATACAATTAACTAAAAAATATTTGTTTGATCATCACTGTTTGTTTGCCTATTATTTATTATATTTTAATGTGGGATTAAAAACTATATTGGTTACATTACTAAAACATCATAACGTAAACGAAGCCACTAATAACTCATTAAAATATCAAAACCATCCATTTAATTTTAACATCACTAATTCTGTATCGACCTTAGTGGGAATAATTAAAAAGAGGTAAATAAAAATATATAACTACAGTAAATATGTAATTAGTAACGGCCGTTTATTTTGAACAAATTTATTCATTTTAGGTTTACTATGTGGGTATCTGGAAATAATAATTATAAGCCGTAGAAACGCCCAATATATGTGTTCCTTTTTTATCGTAGGGGAGGACCGGTTACAGCTCACCTAGTGTTATCTTTGGACATAAGATTGAAGTATCAATTGTATTATATTGATACAAAACTCACCAGAAACAGCTTCCTCCGCCAAGAAATCCAATCCGTCCTTGACTAAAACCCGCAGTTTATCATCCAGTTTCAAGTCGAAGTGTTGTGTGGCGACCTCAAGCATCGCGGGGTCCAGCTCCACGGCGGTCACGTTGAGGTCGTCCCTGCATCTCCTCAGGAACATACAGAGACTGCCCCCGCCGAGCCCAAGGACCGCGACGTGGCTGGACTTGCACAGCTGCACTCCCACGCACATGAAGGAATGGTACAGAGATATGTGCCCGTAGTCTATGACGAATTTCGTTTTATTTTTTCTTTTAACTGAAACGTGATAATTGAAGATTATTTTCATTAATAAATGTGTCCACGTTAGAATCTTGTCTAAGTTTTAATTCGAGACTTCAGCACCGGGTGGATGAAATTGGGAAGGTAATGTTTGTGTTACAAACCCCCATAATAGTATTGTATGTACATCTTTTTTTTTTAACTTGACATTGAATATCGCCTATCTTGAAACTAATTAACACAAAAATTATAACGTTATTTTGACTACTTTTTTTATGGCTTAGACGGGTGGACGAGCTCACAGCCCTCCTGGTGTTAAGTGGTTACTGGAACCCATAGACATCTAGAACGTAAATGCGCCACCCATTTTGAGATATAAGATCTAAGGTCTCAAGTATAGTTACAACGGCTGCCCCGCCCTTCAAACAGAAACACATTACTGCTTCACGGCAGAAATAGGCAGGGCGGTGGTACCTACCCGCGCGGACTCACAAGAGGTTCTACCACCAGTAATTACGCAAATTATAATTTTGCGGGTTTCATTTTTATTACACGATGTTATTTATTCCTTCACCGTGGAAGTCAATCGTGAACATTTGTTAAATACGTATTTGATTAGCAAAATTGGTACCCGCCTGCGGGATTCGAACACCGGTGCATCGCTCGATACGAATGCACCGGACGTCTTATCCTTTAGGCCACGACGACATGAAAAACTACACTTCATGTTAAGCTACACTTTATATTTTTTATTTGACGTCCAAAAAAAGGTCGTTGACTCCGCGCGTCACATATTTTTCAATTTTTACTCATTCTTATTTTAATGTTAGACATATGTATAATGACGTCATTGTATATCAAAACAAACTGACTTGTTAAGTCTGCATGTCTCCATAGTATTTGGATCACCTTGTGATGATGGTGTAAATTAATATAAAACTAGTAACCAGGTCTGAGTCTAGCCTCCGACTGAACCAGAAACTGATTGTCGAGGAACACTAGTCGCCTGTGGGTGTGTCCTTCCACGTCGACGTCCTCCACGACGTAGTCCCCGGACAGCTTCGATGAGCCCTCGTGAACCTTCACCCGACGCCCCACGTCGCTGCCTATCGACAAGAATGGTATCTGCGAACATATAAATATTTATTAGAATTCTCATTTTAAGAATTAGATCCAACGCACCTTCAGATATCCTCGTTAAATTTAGAATTTAGAGCATACCGTTACAATGTAGTTCTGGTTTGAACAAGTTTTAATTGTATTTAATTTAGTCGACGTCGACATCGACCTGAGCTGCGGTGGAGGAGTGTGTTCATACAAAAAAATGACTGGCAGATGTGAAACGTTGATAATATCTTGTACAGGTAGATATAGATGAAATAGGATAGTTTACAAAAGGAAATTTAGGACAGAACCTTTTTTTTATTGCCCGTGTCGGCAAACGAACATAGGGCTCATCTGACGGTGAGTGGTCATCGTCGCCCATGGACTTCAGCAATGCCAAGGGCAGAGTCAAGCCACTGTCTAACGTGTGGTATAATGAAAAATGAAATATTATAAATTATTAATATTAAGAAAGAATCGATTACGCATGGTCGCCACACCGTTCACCCTATTACATATAGTCTGTATATTGTTACGCCGGTAAGGTTAACGCCATCTATCGCCGAATAACAGAAACGCATATCAAAGGAACTAATACCATCTAGAACGCTCAGAAGTACAACGCCATCTATTGTCACATAGCGGAAGCACACATCAAAGCTAATAGATTTGCCCAGAATGTGCTCGATAACTCTAAGGATGTCGTATCGACTATAAAATCGTTACAGGAATGGAACGGAAGCGGTTAGTAAACGATTCTACTCGAAACGAAACAGCGTACGGATCACCTGAAGCGAAGCGGAAGAAGTGAATTGAGAATTTGGAAGTGTTCGTTAAGTGTTAATATAGTTCCAATTTATACTTCGATAGAATTTTTATTTATCCCGAAACTCAGCGCGTAACAATATATAGGTTTATAATATCACATAACGTTGAATCGTTTTTACGTGCGACTGTAGATGTTTCAAATGAAAAACTACATTACCTGTCCGCTGAATCCATTCGGTATGAGCATCTTGGCTGAATGCGCTAGTTCCTCTTTAACGGCGTCGAGACTGGAGTAGTGGTGGCCTCGTCTGAGCACGGCCACCACGAGCCGACCGAACCGGGCCGAGTCCTGGAGCTGGCGGCGCCCTGCTGCCGTGCCGAACAGCCACTCGGACTCTCTGTATAACCGAAAAACTATTTTAGCACAATTTTGTGCGCAACTATACTTTTTTTTCTAAAAGAGATAATCGACGGATCACCACCTGTACGGCGGGCGGACTAAAAACTCCTGCCACTCACAGCCGGCGCCCTACCTCGGACCGCGCCGGAGCCTAGTCGGACGGCGGGACAGGATTTTTCGCAGAGCATATTACATCGTCCCACAGACGCCGGACCGGCGGCCGCCAGCGACACTAACGCCGGTTCCCTCAGTCGACGGGCCAGGAGCCGGCATTGATGGCGCCGCACTACACCTTACCCCGGAGCGGTTGGAGGAACGCGACCTACCATCGACCGATTTCGTATTACGGGCGAGCGTGCCGAGCACGCCGCCCCACCCTTCCCGCATAAAGCGGGTGGAGCCCGAAGCTTTTACTTAGGGGGCCGGGTCACGGACGGGATCCCGGTCCCGACCCCTGCTCTGCGGCGGCGGATTTCTGCGTAGTGAGGAGAGCTTTGCCTCACTCGCCCCACCGCCTCTTCTGCGATATGGTGCACTCGCAGAAGTCGAGCATAGCCTTCCAGCGCAACTGTACTTAGAGACTTCATGTTAAATCTGATATTAACTCGATACTTTTTTTTGTTTTTCAATGCTCTTACATATTCAAACTGTTAAAAACCGACATGAAAAATTTCAGTATGTCTTAATATGTATTTACTGTATTGTACTTATGAGTACAAGGGATACTCATCGTGACGTCACTGAAATTTGAATGCGCGGGATTTTTAAGGTGATAGTGATATTTGTCTTCTCTGCGTTCTTTTGATGCGGCTTCCGATTGTGACGAAACTTGGCAATACATTTTGGGAGTCCGGGAAAGCGCTATAACATGACCTTCTTCAAACGAGTCTTGTGGAGAGTACTTAACGGTAGGCGGCGGAGTTGGGCTCTGGCCTTGGCATTTCTGAGGTCCATGGACGACGGTAGCCACTCACCATCAGGGTTCTGTCAAGTTCTATCAGATCACCCTACTTATTCGCTAGTAGCTAAAAGGGGCTATTCCAGCTACGCCCGGACGGGTAGGTGAGCTCACGGGCTCAACCTGAGAGAATTTGTTAACACTAGCTCTAGCAAGAGCCGTGCTTCGCTGAATCTACCACCGGATCGAAATCGCGACCCACTGAGAAGTTTCGGCGAGAAACTCAGTAGACGACACGTCATAGATATATATATGTACCAGAATTAGTAGGTATTAGCCAGACGGGGCGATCGCAAACTCGTTATTTGACGGCAAATATTTTACTGGTGGTAGGACCTCTTGAGAGTCCGCGCGGGTGCGTACCACCCTGCCTATTTCTGCCATGAAGCAGTAATGCGTTTCGGTTGAAAGGGTAGCCGTTGTAACTATACTGAGACCTTAGAACTTATATCTCCAGATGGGTGGTGCATTTACGTCATAGATGTCTATGAACTCCAGTAACCACTTCGATCCGGTACTGGAAATTCATAATTGCTTCTAAATTAAATGATATATTTCTGAAATCATAAATATAGTTTCGTTTGCCGCGTCCAAGCGTTGTGGGTGTGGCGGCAATGGACGACGTGACGCAACACTCTCGTGCCCGTGTTATAAATGCACTACCATTACATCAACTAAAAATAACTCTTGGACAACTCGGGAGATTCATCACTCAACTTTCGCTGAAGAGGGGAAGATTATGTTACGTACTCGTGACACTGTCAGCAGACGACCTGTTGCTGTTGGCAGGAAGACGCTTACGATCTATCCGATAACAAAGGGCACCACAAACCGTTCTAGAACTTTCGAGGAAAAAATAGATCATAGAACCTACCTAGCAAGTCATACCAATAATTAAACGATATTTTTCTTCCACTATGGAAGCCTTGGCATGGACGCCACACTCACTTAATACTGGCATCCAGAATACCGACTTTTTTTTATTGCCCTTGTAGGCAGAAGAGCATACGGTTCACCAGATGGTGAGTGGTTACCATCGCCCATTGACTTCAGCAATGGCAGGGGTAAAGCCAAGCCGCTGCCTACCATGGCATTTTACTAGGATATGGAGCCCAAGGTCTCCAGCACTGAGGAAGTTCTTCAATTCCTTTCAGTCACACGCAAGTGTTCCCTTCACTGGGCGGCAACCTTCGCAACATTATCGGGTGCGGATTTTTGAATAAAACTTTTTCCCATCACTATGCAATATAAAGATATTAACTGCTTTTTTATTACTCGAGCAAATGGATAGCAGTGCCTATCTACAAAACAATGTGAGTCACGTGACTCACTTTGAGACATGAAGTCAAGTGTCACTTGTAGAACATATTACTGCTTCGCGACAGAAATGGGCAGAATAATGGTATATATATATACCCATTTCCTAAAAACACATCCTACCGTCAATACACATAACTGAAATCCCAATGTGTTTTTTTCTCGCTAACAAACAGATCTAATGAATTTACGAGGCAAACGCGCGCCAAATTGTTTTCTCTATTAATTTGAGATCCGGTAAACTTCAGTACTACCTGTAGTGAAATATTATGGATAATTTATTGTTAGAATAGACAATGATGTGTCTGTTTACGTTCGAATAAAAAATTAGTGCAGATGTACCAACGAGCTCTCACTGAATATAAATAAAAAAGAATTTTCGAGATATGCTTGCATTTATATATACTAGAAGGTTCGAACAATATTCGAACCACCTGTCTATTGAGTAACTCCGCTCGATCGAGTCTGACCAATCGGCTTGGCTTAACTCAATATGGATAGATAGGGCGATGACTATATACACTAATTACATCTATTTTTATGCATCGGCCTGCTTGTTCCCCTGGCATAGGTGATGTCCATGATCAGCGGTGATCACTTACCATCAGGTGGACATTGGATCTGCCTACAAAAAAAAAACCGAGCCACGACTGACATTTTAAAACGGAGCTGACTCTAATGAGCATTGACCTTTTTTTTTTCTTTTATTAAAATATCATTTGAGGAATAGAGTAACTGATTACAAAAAAATATTTTTAACTAAAACTAATCTTTAAGTACCGGTATTTTTAATCAAATGCGTTTATTGTAATTTTCTGTAAGCCACTGATGATCATCATCATATTGAAAAGCAATGATATTTTTAATTAATTATTAAACAATAACTACAGTCGATATTTAAAAAAAGAATCAAATCAGTTCCTTAAATTAGTATACATTTTGTAAGAACAAATACAACGAATTATTTTTTAAATAATGCCGATTGCGCTAGCGTCTGATTAATGTAAAAATAATGTGAGGTTCTTATTAAATTCAATGAAAATGAAGGATATAATTATTCGTCATTATTTAAATTTTAAAAGTAAATAATTTACATTAGTAAAAATTCTTAAAAAAAATAACTGCTTTAAATTAAATAATCTTAGATTACCTGTGTGGTTTCTAAAGTTTATACAATCACATCTTCGTGTCAACTTTTTTTAAAAAATCTATATTAATACAATAATTACTTGCTTACTGTTTTACTTCGATTAAACGCAATATTTGGTATTGTTTGCTATTTTAATATATTTTTTAATTTATTATCAAAACTTTAACTTACCGCGATTTTTCCTCACTGTGAAATATATTTTCACTGGTTATTATATAGTCTCTTCTACTACGTACAAAGCTTACACTTGTGAATTTAAGGAGTGAATATATTTAAAAAGAAATGAGATCTTTTAAAGTATACACAACTTTTTTTTTTCGAAATTCCGAATGTTTTTTTTTCTTTATGTGTAACTTTTTTTTTACTGTCCACGTCTACCTGCCAGTGTGTCTGGACAAGTATTCCGCCTCAATCTCTACTGGACTGATTCCTCGCGGGCATCGATCCAACGCGCCCCGCACTATTATTTTATCGCACCTTAAATAAATTGCGAAAACACTAGAACGTTTTTTAATAAAAAAAAATATCCATATTTTTACTACCAATAATAAAACACAATATAATATACAATAAGAACCACTTTTACGGTATAAGCTTGCGTTTATTATTACTATCATTATACCCGTGGCTAGAATAGCACATACCAGGGACGCGATAATTAAAAAAAAGACCACAACACTATTACTGACGTTTGAACCGACTCGTATTATTTTTCATTTAATTAAAACAAGATCCCTTGTGATTTCAATGTTATTTTGATAATTCGTTTGTCTATCGAGCAAATATTTTACTAGCGGTCAAGGACCAAGTGGATATTTTTTGTTTATACGAAAAAGAAAAAAAACTCGTTAATTAGAGAGATCTTTCTCGACGTTTACAAAACAAACCAGACAAAAATAGATCGGGCAGATACGTTTTATTTACGTTATGAGCACGTGTATATAATAGCGCCGCATACCGCCTCTCGCCTACACAGACATTTGTTTACATTGCTTTTCGGATTTATACTAGTGCATGGACGAGCAGCACGCGGCCCGCCAAGCATTTCCAAAATTGAATTTAATTTATCGACTTTCTCCCATCAAATTCGTTTTCCTGCTCATTTCTTGTGTTTTTATCTTGCATTAAAATTTGTATATGAATTCTTAACTTTTTTAATTTTATATTTTTACATTTTAATATTTATTATATAAAGTTTCGTAAATAAGAGAGAATAAAAGTCAATCTAAGTGCGGACCGCAAAAAATAAATTAAAATTTAAATAGGCCCATTGATTAAAAAAGTTGCTCACCCCTGTAGTAGAGTATAAACTAGAATTTCAATTTTATAGTTTTCGAATTCCCAAAGCTACGATTTTCTCCTGTGTTATGGACACGTGTAACTTCTCGATTGCGTAAAAGCTAGCTCAAATTTGTATGGAGTTGGAACAGCTTCCTTACGTGTGATGCCGTGGCCGTCGTCGTGGCCTAAAGGATAAGACGTCCGGTGCATTCGTGTGTAGCGATGCACCGGTGTTCGAATCCCGCAGGAGGGTACCAATTTTTCTAATGAAATACGTATTAATCAAATGTTCACGATTGACTTCCACGGTGAAGGAATAACATCATGTAATATAAATCAAACCCGCAAAATTATAATTTGCGTAATTACTGGTGGTAGAACCTCTTGTGAGTCCGCGCGGGTAGGTACCATCACCCTGTCTATTTCTGCCGTGAAGCAGTAATGCGTTTCGGTTTGAAGGATGGGGCAGCCGTTGTAACCATACTGAGACCGTAGAACTTATATCTCAAGGTGGGTGGCGCATTTACGTTGTAGATGTATATGGGCTCCAGTAATCACTTAACACCAGGCGGGCTGTGAGCTCGTCCTCCCACGTAAGTATTAAAAAAAACCACCTCATTTCGGATCCTTCGGATCCACTAACGGTGCTTTTAGGTACCCCGAACACCGGTCATCGTTCTTGTCGAGCCCGTCGCTTGCAACAAAGGACTCGGCGAGTAAACTAACCCACAGACACAGCCCACTGAGTTTCTCGCCGGATCTTCTCAGTGGATCACTTTTCCGATCCGGTGGTGGATTCTGCGAAGCACGGCTCTTGCTAGGGCTAGTGTTAGCAACAACGTCAGGTTTGAGTCTCGTGAGTTCACCTATTAGTGAATCTAGACTAACCCCTTGAGGATAATAGAATAGGTAGAAAAAAAAATCAGATCGTATGGTGAATCGCATATCGTTTTAACGTTCGCACTGATCATTCGGGTAACGTAATCAATATTACGATTAGAGATTGGCGTTGAATTACACAATTATTTTTATCAACGATGCGCTTTGAATCTTAGCTAATACCGTTGCCAGTATCGCTTTGGGCGACGTCGCCCGCCGACTATCGCGACTCCCTGCCTGGCAACATGAGAAAAATACCGCTGGCTGAAGTCTGAGCGACGTTCGTCAACAGTGCTTGCTATTCAGCAAGTCCAACCACGCATAACAATTTAAGAGCCGAAATCGAATAATCCACCCACTACCCAAACAATAAGCAAACACTTCAGTTGTACTACTGGATTTGTTCTAGAAATATCTAGGGGTGAAAAACTGTTTAAGCGACATTTTTGCAACTTTACAGGAGAGCCATTTAATGTTTAAAATTTGGAAAAAATATATTAAGGCAAAAAAGCTTCTTCACCTATTATTGAATTGAGTAAATTTAATTGAGGTTCAAATAAAAACATCGAACTGTTGATGATAAAATGGACATTTAATTACAAAAATAAATGTCGCGTATTAAGCGAATTTTTGCTTAAACTAAATAGGTTTTCACCCCTCGATATGATCATGGATAGACTAAAGGCTTAGAAGATTAGTGTTACGTCGGTAAGAGTAACGCCGCCGAATAGTCGAACGAATATCGAAGGATCTAGTAGCATCTAGAACGCTCGAGAAGTACAACGCCATCTATTGTCAGATAGCGGAAGCACACATCGAAAGTACTCGATTTGTGAGGAATGTTCTCGACGATTCTAGGGATATCGTATCGACTATAAAAGCGTTGCAGAGATGGCATGTCAGTCAGTTAGTAATCGGAACTACTCGAAGCGAAACAGCGATCGGATCACCTGAAGCGAAGCGGAAGAAGCGAATTGAGAATTTTAAAGTGTTCTGTGAGTGTTCTAATAATTCGGTAGAATTTTAATTTACCCTGAACCCCAGCGCGTAACATTAGGATCTATTTGTTACCTATTATCTTGCAAAGCATGGAATTCCAGTGATAGCACCAAAAATACTGACTAGAACGATGATAGAAATATTTATCAGCTCCTACTGAAATTACAAGAACTCACTAAAACTAATTTTGACTCTTATTACTAAATTATCTAAATCTAAATTACAGTATTTGAAATGTAGATAAGTATGATAGTTTATTATAATTCATACTCCATACCTGCCCTGCGGTACTATGAAGACTGCATATTTATTTAATGTTTGAGAAGTTCTCTGATCCACCACATACAATGTGTAGCGTGGTGTATTTTCATCAGGCTGGTATAGATCCAAGCTGACCTAAAAAAAACATATTTCATGTGAAGAATTTCTTTAAAACCAGCTTTAAATTGAAATGGCACCATTATTAAAGTTTTATTATTACTATCCATAATATTATTAAGAGCACTTAAATCACCTGACTTATTCTTTTGATACATGAAATATTAAAAAGTTATTTCACCTCATCATCATCATCTAGTTTCGTTTTGCCAAGTCCATTGGTGATGAATGCTGTGTCCTGAGCTGACTTTATGTGCTCCTGCAGATGTTTTGGAGTCTGAACACGCACCATTTTTTCACCAGCCATACATACTTCTATTAGCTGCAAGAAAAAACATTTTATACTAAATAAAATTGATATAAACAGATTTAAAAAAAAAATACTATCAGAGTATATTGGTAACACATCCAGTTTATTACTGCTGCAAAATAGGAAGACATTCTGGGTCAATAGGTAGGACAAATATAAACTATAGTTGAAATTTTCACCTAATGGTACGATGTGGACAGCATATGGCATACAGATTGTAAACTCTATGAGCTCCAGTAATCACCATGTGGGCCGTTTATTCATTGATGCAAAGAAATAAATAGTCACTAGGGTTAGCCTTTTTATTGACAAAACAAAATAACTTTTTTTCCCACTATATGAGTTTTAAGAACGGAATCTAACACCGATACAGAGCTTGTGAGTTTGTATCCCTACCTTTACTAGTTAAAACTGCTTAAGATGCTTAAGAGGCAGACAACTACTGTCTGAGCTGAAAGCTGTCAGTCCTTTAATATTCCAAGTCAATCAAAAACACTGAAAAAACTGTTGTAAAAGAAATATCTGTCTCAGTTCGAAGAGTTTAACCTTTAACCTTTACCAAATTTGGCTTGTTCATCATTTTCCTGCCCTTCTCTCTCCCCTTGGGTCGGCGCAACATGTTTTCTCCTTCCATACTCCTTTATCATATACCATTTCTTTGCTCACTCCCCTCTTACACATATTGCCTTTCATGCAATTCATCCATATCTTCTTAGGTCTATCTTTTCCTCTGTATCCTTCCACATTCATAGTTAATACTCTCTTACTAACCTCATTTTCATTTCGTCTCATCACAGGTCCAAACGCACACTTCTCAAATTGGGCTTGTTATAGGTAGAAATGGGGGCATTGCACCTAAACTTCGATTTGGTTTAATATTCTCAAGCCCCACAAACTCTCCTTGGTACGGTTGCTGCAATACAAACATACCTGACACCTGCTGAGATTGCATCACTAATCTCAAAACTTTTCAATTCTAGTGTAATTGTGAAGTACATCCCAGATGGTATTATGAATTTCGGTGGACTGATAATTTTGACAGAAGTGTCTGCTTAGTATATCAACTATCGGAATTTTGTTTCTGCTCTTGTGGATGGATATGTTTTACAAAATTTTGTCGTTTATTACACATTAGCAATTCCAAAGATAAAGGTAAGTTGAAGTGTATCCACACAATAACAGATATTATTGTAGTTAATCTTTGTTTTATTTCATATAGACTTACTAATTGAGGCATTTCTTTGAACTTAGTTGCAATCACCACGAATACCGGTAAAGTTGGGCCATCAGAATTCTCCGCATTCTTCTCTTCGGCCTCGTGACATCTTACAACACGGAACATCCATGACTTCTGACAAAACCCTTCCATTAACTTGGCAAGTATGTGACTCTGTAAGAGTGATATGCATACAAAGCGTCCTCCGAGTTTTAAAACCCTTTTGATTTCAGAAAAATATTTATCTATAATGGCATTTGTTTCTTCTGTAGCATCCGGCATTAGGGCGTCAAGAGTACCTTTATCTAACACAACATTAAACGCTTCATCTTCAAAAGACATTCTCGTAACATCCATGCACATAAACTTCATATTGGTTCTGGCTTTGTTTACGTTTTTCATTTGCTTAATAACAACTTCCGAAACATCCACATTTGTTATATTTACATATCCAACATCGTATAGGTCCGCGCTCAAACTTGAATTACCACAACCAGTGATCAGTATTGAATCTTTAGTTTTTATATATTTGTTTAACTGACCGCATAGTTCTAAATATTCGCCGTACCTTAAAAAGGCAGTGAAAGATTTTTAAAAAATAAATAAAGACAGATCATAACATAATATGCATGTGAACATAACCTAGGTACCATTCGAATGCTTTATTTCCCCGTTTTCTGAAGAATTTGTTCCAGTAATCTTTTTCGCTGAATTCTTTGTGACTTTTCGGTAGTAAATTCATTATAAACGTTTGGTGTTTGTAAAAACTTAACAGTTGCTTTCAATTTCATTTATCATCAATATAATCACTACCTAATGTCTATTATGTGTCTTTATAGGTCTATGGTCTTTATCTTATGTTTGGCGTTTCAATTTAGATTTCGCCAATGTCAAGTGTCAAGTGTATTTATTACCGGTAAAATGGGGCGATTAGGGATTGAGAGGCGAATCGGGAAAAAACCGGGAAAATCTTTCGACGCTCAATATAAGTTTTATATTCGTTGCAAAATCTTCTGTTTTTTGTAGTTTAATAGTAGAATGTTGAAAGTTCACAAAACAAATCTGAATATGCATGATAATAGCTGCTAACTTATAAAAAATCGCGTTTCAAATTAACTTCCTGTGGTGGTAATTATTTTAGTGCTAGAAACTTTGCTCTCTTTTATTTATTTGATAATAATAGAAGACGACTATGATTTATAAACGTTGTTTAGTGTTTGAACCAGCATATATATTAAAGGTAAGTCTCAGTTGTTATTGGTTTTAATGTATTTGATTAAATAAAAATACATGTAAAAATCTGTTGTTTTTGGGGATATTGGGGACGTCTTAGGTACAAATAACAACGAAAAAGGGGTCAATTGGGATGAGAATACGTGAAATGGAAACGACCTAAGTATAAATAGGTACAGGTTTGTAGGGTTGTCTATGTAGTTATAACAATATTTTTTAAATTTGTTGGTAAAAATCTGGTTTATTCGAAGCGAAATTGGGAATAAGTCTTTAGTTGAAATAGATAAGCAATTTAATATAAGTAAGTCGATTTTGCAGAGACATGTAACAAGATCAATGAAATCTCAAGGTGGACAAAAATGTCTAAGTAATACATAATAAAATATTTAATATTTGTTCAGAGTGGGGGTATTCATCTGATTAATCCATGGAATAACCGACACACCTAATCTCTTAACCCAGATAGAAATATCAGCACTGTCGATTGCACCTATAATTGAGGTGATGTCTGCCATGTACTTTTGTCAGTTTTTCAATTTTTTTTATTGATGATCACTTTGTTGGTGCAACTAAATAAATAAATAAATTAAAACTATATATAAAAATAAAAGTAGTGCCAACCCTAGCAAATTTCTCATTTCGTCCCAATTAACCGCAATTTTCGGGTAAATAGGGATTACACCTATTTTTGCATTTTTTGCTTAAACTGGAATGCTAGTTGCATAATTTTAAATTAGACAACAAAGATGCCCCCAAGACTCAACCATTTTGATCCTGATATAGCATTATATACATCAACAACTACCTTAAAATTGCTCATAAAGTTGGAATTTGTCCCTAATCGCCCCATTTTACGGTACTCTGCTTTCTTTATCGGGCTTCGTGAACGACATAGACATAGGTTTCATTCGGCTCAGTGAATTTGGCCCCCCTTTTTTTGATTTTCGGTTTTTTTTTTAAATTATTTGTTCGTCGTTTGTTCGTTAATGTTTGAATGTAAAGTTCAAATCAATCACCAATAGTCATCGAACAAACGATAATTGATCAAAATTAATTTATCTAAGTGATAAAAATAAAGATATCTAGTAAGGAGCGGCAACTTAAGGGTGATAATTTGCTTAATTAATTATAAATAAATAAAAGACAAACAAGAAATTTTTACATTCGAAAATTAACGAATAAATGACGAAAATAAATGACGAACAAATAATTAAAAATAAAAAAATCTGAAAATTGATAATATTTGTTTATATTATTATATGTTTTAAATGTATATATTTATGTATGTGTATTTATTTAAGTACGAGTATTTGTATCTATAAATATTATGTAAGTTATATATACAATTATGTTTAAATAATATTACCTTCACACTACACCTACCAAGGTTCATCTCTGCACTCCCCTAAGGTAGACTATTACACCGGTCACTCACATTCGCACGAATACGCAAACCCGCAAGTGTTGGATGACATTTGCAAATGATTATGCAAAGTTTTCGCTGCATTCGTGGTTTTCCAAGCTGTGTCGGTTTTTTAACAGACATCAAAGCGTGCGAACCGCGATCCTTCGCGTAGTCTTCCACAAATTCGTGTGACCAGTTGCGCCTGGGATTGCGAAGGCAACGAACGTTTCGCTATTTTCATAGATCGTGACGTCTACTGTGTAGCGTATCTTCATCAAAAGAAATCCCATAAAAACAGCATGGCTGTTAATGATGTCTGGGAGAATTCAAAACTCTTTTTCCCTTCAATGTTCTGTTGACGAATTAAAAAGGAGGAGAAATTCGTGAGACATTCGTAAACAAGTTTAGGAGGAAGTGCAAAGGGGTTCGTAAATTGAGTACCGAACCCATTTGCACAGCCGCTAAGTTTGCAAATGAATGTTTGACGACCCTTCACATGCGCGCAAACATTTGTACAATGTACGAATAGTTGCGCGCATGTGAGTGGCAGGCATTAGAGAATGCCTATGGCATTAGGTCCGCCTTTATACTTTCTAGTATATGAAGTTATAAATAAATAAATAAATAAATAAAATCAAAAAAAGGCGGCGGAGCGAGAGAGGGAGAGCTCTTCCCTTTCCGCACCGATCCGTCGCCGTCGAGCCGGGGGCCGGAGGCGGGAATACGCCCGTACGTCCCGGCCCCTGTAGGTGGCGGCCTCCCCCCGGTGAAGGTCAAGGGGCGACCTGAGGGGGTGAGGCCGCGCGGCGCGCTACCAGCACTCTAGCGCGCTGCCGTGGAGTGAATAGAGCGACCGGTCGACGGTGTATCGCGTCCCGACCCGGCAGGCTGGTTCTGGTCCAGCGGGGTATTCCGGGACACCAGCGGCACCGTCTGGGCGGCCCGACGGGCTGCCGTACCGAGACGGCCGACGTTTCAGAGCCTTCGATTCGCCTCGAAGGCTCCGTCGGCTGGGCGTCCTTGGGGTGAGCCGCGCCGTCTGGTTGTAGTGTTGACCGCGGTAACCCCCCTACCTCATCCGGGTTCGGACCTCGGAGGGGATCGGACGTCGGGTGTAAGAGTGCAGGGGAGTCGTTTAGTGGGTGGGTCCTAAAATCCTTGGGCCTGCGGTCTGCTCACAACACCATGCAGATCGTTGTCTCACATACCCCGCGCGCCCCTTTTGCGCGGGGACCTCGTAGGAGGTTCGGCACTCTACCAGAAAAAAAAAAAAAAAAAAAAAAAAAGGTGATGGTTTGCTTAATAGATATAAAATAATTAATAATTGGGAATTTAATTGTTTTATGATCGAACAATCACCAATAGTCGTCGAACAAACGATAATTGATCAAAATTAATTAATCTGAGTGATAAAAATAAAGATATCTAGTAAGAGGGGCCCACTTAAGGGTGATCATTTGTTTAATTAATTATAAATAAATAAAAGACGTACAAACAATTTTTACATTCGAACATTAACAAACAAACGACTAACAAATAATTAAAAATAACAAAAAATCGAAAATAAAAAAAAGGGGAGCCAAATTCACTGAGCCACCAATTACATATTTTATGTTCAAAATATGTACGTATGACGAAATTTAGTGAAGTAAAGTGTGGTGATCCCAAAGTAATGAACATTTTCCAAATAAAATATGACCTAAAAGTCTATATTACCAGAACGTAAAATTAAAATAAAAAGCAAAAACATGGAGGATAGAAACTCTATGGTTACATTATGATTCAAGCAAATAATACACATGTAGTAAAGTAGGTATAAACTTGGTTTGTAGGTATAAACTTAAAAGTGATGCCCGAAACGACTAATTTTGGCATCCGAAATTTCTAGCATTCTGTTCGAATAAAATGTCAGTCGTGATGTTCCAGAGTTCACTTTAATTTTCGAGTTAATTACTCGAGTTCTTCATTGGATTTGAATAACGTTAAGAATACAATAAACAATAAGTTCTTATTTACATTAGCAAAAACTTTAGTCAAAGGGCTAATCAAAAGACGGAATAAGTCTAGCATTTTCTCAATTAATCAATAAATTATTTAACTCCAAGAGTATTTATTATATTTTTATATGCTAAGTCCCTAATCAAACTGGACCTAAATAAATAAAAAGGAAATATCTGTCCTTTTTTAAGAAGAAAACAGTAGTTAAAATTCAAAACCTTTGCTCAGTGTTCGATTACAATGGATAGGTAGGATAGGTAGAACAAGAGTTCTAGCTAACCGGATTTCATTGGTTAGTTAGTAAAATCGAGAACCTACATAAATACTTATAATGTACATGGAGTTAATAAGAATAGTAACTCTATGATAATGTACTATTCGAGTAATCCAAGATGCAGATTGTAAAATCGACATTGGGCACGTCACGTCACTATAAAGTATGTGTCAAAATCGGTCAAACCAAGGCAGCGAGCGAAGGATGGCAAAATAAAAATGGATTTTGCGAATCGTGTGAATGCATCAGTAAAATGGCATTGGCCTGACTTCTACGAATTGAAAATCTTAAAAACATCAAATTTTGACTGTAGTTAACAATTAATAAAAAATGGATAAACATAGCCAAGACAAATGGAAAGCATTAGCGACAGTGAAATCCTTCGATTTAGGTAAGTTTTACATCTCTGAATGATCTCTGTTTCATAGTAATGTATGCATAGTCATAGTAAAATAGCTGGCCTGGCATACATGAACTTGTATAGAATATTCTAAACTTTACACGATGGTAGGGAATGACAATAGATAAGAAAGGGAGAACATTTGTGCATAACGGTATTTATTTTCTTCATAATGTAAAAACTATCCACCTACAAGTATGTAATATGTATGCTGTTAGTGATTATAAATTTGTTATTTTTTTGTTTATAATTCGTAAATTTTTCGTACAAGATTTGAATTTTTCGCAATATATGATGATAAAATTAAAGTATATGCATTATGCAACTATCTAAAATTAACGTGATGTTTTCTTGCTGTACTGATTTTGGTTACAGTTTTGTCCACTTTTGAAATTTTTGTTAAAAAGCGATTTCCATTTGAAGGCCCTAATGATTTTATTCTTTATTCTTATTAAATATGTTTAGAAACTTCGAGATTTCGAGTTCGCTAAGTTTGTTTGTAAATGA